CAGCCTGTTTAACTTTCCTGGCATCTGCAACACAAATTACATTGAAAAACTTAAAAAAAAAAAAAAAAGTATTTAGGCTTACATGTATGAGATTCCCTTTTCCAGCATCAGAAAGGCTGGTTTTTCAATCAGAGGAATATGCTGGAGTTGATTAGGAAGTAAAAGCCTTCGGTGTGTCACTGATTAAGGTCTTGCCAATTTCAGGCAGCAGTGCAAGTGAGAGGGAACTAATGAATCAACTAATTAAGGTCACAGAGTAGAGCCTGTTTACTTGCAGGTAGCACTTATTAGGGAAGTGTTGCACTGGAGAGAAAAGGTGCTCCAGAAGAGATACCTTGTTAGATACTCAAAAAGCTGGACAATATTTGATTTTAATGTGGACAAAAAGGAGGACATGTCCTCCTTTTGCCAGACATCTGGTGACCCTGTTTCCACCAGCAGAAAAACATACCCAACTTCTGGGAATATTGGCAAAGGGAAACCTTCAAGCAGCCCTGGTGATGTTCTGTATTAAACGTATATGTGAACATAAGGAAAGCAGTACTGGATCAGACCAAAGGCTTCATTGATTCAGCATCTGTTCCCACAGTTGCTGACCACACAGTTATGAAAAGCAAGGGTGGGCAACCTGTGGCACCCCAGATGTGGCTAAACTACAGCTCTCAGCACTTGTTACTGTTGCCAGTGCTTTCTAGAGATATTGGGAATTCCCTAGGAAGGCACTCCTAGCAAAAACTGGAATGCTACCAATTGTCTACAGTACAAGCAGTACAGTACAAGAGATAATGGCAATAGCCCTTTTCTGCTTATGTCCTCCAGCAAGTGGTATTACAAAGCCAATTGGAGATATGGGTAGTACTTGCTTGAGTAAAAGCTTGTGTAGAAAAGGGGTATAAATTGTATCAACAAATAAATAGTATCCCCAGTGTTTTCCTCCACGAGTTTGTCCTTTTAAAGCCATCCAGGTGGGTGACCATCACTACATTAGTTAATGTCAGCTTATCTACTTATGAATCTTCTATTTATTCTTTTTTGGGTGATGTATGAACCTAGACTTGGATCCAAAGATATAGGTGGAGGAATGAAAGTCACGTTCATTTGAAGAAATAGATGTTTCTCGTTTTTCATTGGTTTTCTGCCTTTCTTATGCAGTCCTTTCTGCATGTTGTTTTAGAGTGTATCCCAGCTCTCAGAAGAATTTTTTGGATACACAGGGGGTTGCAGGGGGAAGAATGAGACGAGTATGTTCATGCCATGGGCAGAATGGAAATTAGGATCTAAGCCAAAATATAAGTGAATAATAAACATGCATCGATCAATATTTTTTAAATCTTTCCTTGACTTCTGGTAATATTTATACCAGACCAAGATACTGCAGTGGGAGGCATTTTTCTTATTCTTGCTTTGCTGTTTCTTAAGGCGCTCAGAGTTATGGGCCGAATCATGCGTGAGTGCTGGTACACCAATGCGGCAGCTCGACTGACAGCGCTTCGCATTAAGAAGACAATTTCTCAACTCTGTGGACAAAATTCCAAAGCTTAAATTTACACACCTTGTAAAAATGGAGCAGGAAATACATTTTTGTCTTTGGTTTTTGTATTGTTTTTGATTTTGCTCTACCTCACATGACGCTAAGGATAGTATTGCAAAGCCCAAGTCCCAGAATACTAGAAAGTAGCTTCACTGGTTCTTCACATTTCATCAGGAGTAAGTTTTGGTTGCTGGGTGATGTGTGTCTTGTTTTGGCTGGTATAGGAAAAGTGATTTATTTATTTTATGGGCATAATCCATGAATATGCTCCAGAGTGTTGACATGATCCTTCCTGCCATGGCAGCAGAAACCCCTGAATCACAGAGAATATATGAGAAGTGAACATCATCAAGGAAAGTGTATCACTATAGCAATCTCCTTGTTTGCGTTGGTAGTATACATGAATTTGATATGCTAGACCAGAAGTTAACAACTTGTGAGCTAATTTTATCTCATCCTCAGTCTAACTTCACCTTTTTATGCAAAAACTGCTTCATTGTGGTAAAAGCTGTCTCTTCATCCTCCTGGTTAAAAAAAGGAAAAAGGTTGAAAATAGGTTTCTTGACCTACTTTTGCCTTTGGTGGAGCCCACTGCATTCTGGAAAGTCATCTCTGAGGGGGTGCAGCTTTTAAATGCAAGAAGGTTATTTGCTCTTCTAAGTAAACTCTGAGGGTACTAAATGCATTGAATCTATATTAAAATACATTGGCCACTGGCTTTTTAAAATATCTTGGAAATTATTGGCCTTTCAGTTCACCTCAAGAACAGAGATGTGAGCCATAAGAACTCATAAGATGATGAGCCTGGAGATCTCTGGAAGATATCATGCTTGACTGTAGGCTTTCCTTGGAAGATTTCCACAGGCTGTGTCTTAATGATGATTAGATTCACCTGGTAGTTTATGTTTTCAGCCAGCAGCAATGCCTGCCTTACCTTGCAGCAACCTGTGGGGGGAGGGGGGGACAGATTTTTGGGAGAGCTTCCATCTTTTGTTCAGGAAGCCCCTAGAGAAAGATGAGCCCTCTCTCTACTGGTGGCATTACAAATCCCCCTTCCTAATGCCTTAAGGAAAGCATACTATTTTATGACCAAAGGAAAAAGCACAAGCATACACCCTTGACATTGCCAGTGTGAAGAATCAGAAGGAGATGCTGCCAGTCAGAGCTGATGTTATTGGGCTAAACAAGCCAAAGATTTGGCTTTTTTGCATTCCAGAGGAAGTAAGCAAGTGAGAGACTGAGACCAAAATATCAAGGCATTTTTTCACAGAACTTTGTAGAATAGGTGGTGCAATATGTTTGTGTGTGTGTGTGTGTGTGAGGGTGCATATGTATGTGTATATGTGTAATGTGCATTTGTGGGTATATATGCACACATGCATACACAGATCTTTTTTATTAATCAAATAAGAGACATTAAATAGAACATGCTTAACTGTGAAAGTTCTTGTTTTATTATTAGTCACATTATAGATGATCATTTATTTAAAGCTTTAACCACAATGTTATAGTTAAATGTCGGAAATTCTATATGTTACATGTCTTTTGCCTTCAGATTTATATTTGTGAACTAAATATTCTAAATCTAAAACAGTGTAAATGCGACAGGATAAATCTAAAATGTCTGTTTTGTGGTGCCAAAATTTAGAACAAAGTCCTAACAAGGCGCTAATGTAAAATATGTATAATACTTACCTGACTGGGAAAAAAAAAGCGTTAGAGTGTTTGGCTAAAAAAAAAGTATTATTTTACACAAGTCTGCATTGATCCATAATTTTGAAAAAAAAAATCAATGAAGACTGAAGAATAAAGGAATGTCAGATAATCGCAAGTAATAGAGTTTTATAAATTTGAAAAGTGGATACGTATATATTTAAATAAGTCTTCTTCTGGAGACCAAACTTGTAGTGAGTATTGGATTTGGGAGGGTGGCAGAAGTCTTTCTCTTTCTCTGTTTTTTTTAAGGCCCCATTTTTAGAGCAATATATTCTCTCTTGTAGGTAGAAGTCAAAGCAGAGCTATCTAAGCAGCAAGAACAGACATTCAGTTGTGAATATGCAATTGAAATCTTTATTCCCACAACCAGAGTTGGATAGACGTAGCTTTTTTGTGTTAAGATCTTCTCATGCAACCAGTGTTTTCCCATGTGACAAAGCCTGACCGTCTAGGGAGATAACACAGGAACTATAATTCTCATACGTGCCTCTTGTTCCCATGAATCCAAAGTGGCATGGAATTATCAACTCTGAGGCAGCTCTTGGATGGCCCCAATTATTCCACTTCATAAACAATTTGAACAGAGGAAACTAAGACCAAATTTTCCCAGTATTTGTGGTTGTATCTGTCTCTGTGCATGACAGAGAGAAAGAGCTGTTCCCAACCAGCCACCCATACTGTAGACAGCCTGAAATCCCAAATGTTGAGTCTCCAAATTTCTAGAAAAAAGGGTTGTAGCTTAGTGGTACGGCATATATTTTGCATGGAAGGAGTCCCAAATTCAGTCACTGGGGCCTCAGGCTAGGGCTAGAAAGATTTTTGTTTGTCAGTGAACAAAATGCTATCCTGAGGATGAAGTCGGTATCACCTTTATTTTATTATTCTCTCTCTCATAACAGAAACCGAGCCATTGTCAGTAGTGTTCATGTTAACTTTGGGGTCTTAAAAATACAAATAAGGGTGTTGACTTCTCTCTGAAAAAAAAAATCTAAAACCTATATGCATCTCTGAGCCAAAACTTCAAAAGTGTAGTCAACCATGCAGGTATGGTTTTCAAATTTCACTGATGCTGACTCTTGTGATATGAATGTGACCTGTGCCAATAAAACAGTACACAGGAATGTGTAAGTTGCCCATTGTCATCTTCATCAGTATGACCATTATTCTTTTAGTTTAGACTAGTTTTTAGCATAATGCTTGAGATTTTGATGGAAGTGCAGAGGTAACAGCAGCTCCTAGTCAACCTGGGCTGAACTCCATAGCTAAACAAGATCAGCCCTGGTTAGTAATTGAATTGGAAAGCATTTGCCAATTCCAGGGGTGTAAACTAGACTATGAAATCAGAAAACATCCATCCCAAAAGAAAGCAGTGGCAAACTAATACTGTAACAATGCCAAGAAAATGGTGTGGATGTAGCCACTAGGAGCTGAGTTCAACTCAAGGGACTTCAATTAATTAAATTAAACATTAATGATATTTATGCTGGTATGAAGGCAACTAAGAAGTGCGTCACATATTCATGTATAGTGGTTGATGATGTTCCCTGTCTTTTAATTTGAATTGTGATCTAAAAGCTCTATGTCTGATCATTTCTAAATGGTCCATTTATATACCCAAGAATCATTTGATGCTGCATTTCAAAGCTGATAAACAAGCAAAAGTAGGAACCGATCCTGAGTCACCAATGGTGACTCTTTGAGACTTAGAAGTACTGTAATCCTCTTGGATTTTCTACAGTGGTCAGTCACTCTTCTATTTGTCATTTTGCCACCTTTTAAATTAGAATCCCATTCACTTAAATTAATATTGCTGTGTGAAAATAAAAGAGTGAGAAATGGCTTGCATGTGACAAATTGTTGCTTCTATTCATTGTTCTTTAGGGACTGCTGACAAAGTCTGAAATCTATAAGCTGTGCAATTCTCACGTGAATAATTACAATAGTTGCCTTACCGTTAACAGGATGCTGTCACAAACAGGGAGTTTGTCTTTTAAAATCCTTTGCTATAGATAAGCTTGTGCTTTTCTTATTTGTATGAAGAAACCTGGAAGAATCAAGCACTTCCCATTCCTTACAGGCACCACAGTTTTATGGCTTAGGCAGAGAATAAGTACTCAGTGCACAAAATAATACTCTGGAATGTGATGAAAGTGCAATAAATTAAATCTGAAAAATTTATGTGTAAGCCAGTTGTATAAATCTACGCAGGAAGAAATAATCTCTGAAGTTCAAATGATGGCTAATGGAGGAGCAGAGCTCCATTCCAGAAGGGGAAGTCGTAAATTTTCAATCTGCGAATGCCAATAAAGAATATGTGTTAGGAATAGATTCCTCTTAAAACCCAAACTAACTTTGAATGCAGTTATGGAATTGAATGATGGAATTACAGTTTTCATACTGTACATGGTTTAACCTAGTGTATACTGTCACAAGAAAATATTTATTTTTTAAACAAATTGCTTTAATATTGCTGCTGCTGCCTCTAGTTGTAAATAATATATATCTGAATGTTGTATTTTTGTATACCTACTTTTTGCCTCTCAAAGCATATTTTTAAAGTGCCAATTTTACTATATTAATCTTTCTCTGCTGTTTGTTTTTGTGAAGCGCAACCTCTTTTAAATAAGAAAAACCGAATGTCTAAGAAATGTATCTTGTTTGCTGCTAATCACAAATAATTAAAACATAAGCCATTCCAGTCAAGAATTCAGACTTTTTTTTTCAGCAAAAGTAAAACTCATATACACCCACATACATACATAGACACACATATATGTATATATTCACAAACATACGGGCACACATAGAGAGCTCTCCCACAAAACTCCCTCAAACCAACCCAAAGGCCTCCGTGTATCTCAGGTGCCACGTTCTTCTGTGTACCTAGGATAGACGCCCAACTGCAAAGACCTTTCAGATGTACATCTGATGGGTTAAGCCTGATGTCCCATTTGATCTCACATTTAGCTGCTATTCATGACACAAATGAATTAAAATGGTGGCGGGGAGGAAAAAGCCTGCCTCTTTTCCTTAATCCAGGAATGGAATATTGTGTGTTGTTAAAGGATCTGTGCAGTCAGGGATTACTGATGGCAGAATTACAGGAGCCAGCAAAGGAGCACTTTATTCTCTCTCTCTCTCTCTCTCTCTCTCTCTCTCTTTCTCCATCTATCCATCTATCCATCTCTATCTCTATCTCTATCTCTATCTCTATCTCTATCTCTATCTCTATCTCTATCTCTATCTCTATCTCTATCTCTATCTCTATCTCTATCTATCTATCCATCCATCCATCCATCCATCCATCCATCCATCCATCCATCCACCCATCCATCTATCCATCTCTCTCTCTCTCTATCTATCTCTATCTATCTATCTATCTATCTATCTATCTATCTATCTATCCATCCATCCATCCATCCATCTATCCACCTCTACATCTATCTCTATCTCTATCTCTCTCTCTATCTCTATCTCTATCTCTCTCTCTATCTCTATCTCTATCTCTCTCTCTATCTCTATCTCTATCTCTCTCTCTATCTCTATCTCTATCTCTCTCTCTATCTCTATCTCTATCTATCTATCCATCTCTCTCTCTCTCTATCTATCTCTATCTATCTATCTATCTATCTATCCATCCATCCATCCATCCATCCATCCATTCATCCATCTATCCATCTCTCTCTCTCTCTCTCTCTCTCTCTCTCTCTCTATTAAATTTATATGGCTGCCCATCTCACTGAACATGACTCTGGGTGGTGTACACCAACACTTAAAACAATATCGTAGCTGTTAAAAAATGTAACAATATAAATAAAAGCAAGGTTGCGGGAGAATAACATCCTTCTAAATGCTTTCCCAGCTATTAGGATCATTTTGCAGCACACCTCTCCCTTTCGTTAGCTATTGGACACCGTTGCCTTGGCAGGCATACAGGACGAACTCTTCATTTAAGGGGGGGGGGGGGGGTTAAAAGGATCACTAGCATTCCTTGGGAGCCAGCCGTTAATAAGAGGGAAGAGCATGAAACCCTGAGAATAAAACCAGGAAGCTGGAGGTGGGGCAGCGGAGTATGTTTGCTTCAACGAATGGCCAAGGCGCTGCGCTTCCACGAGGTCCAAAGCACTGTTTCCAAAAAGTTTTCCAAGTGTGCACTGCCATTATTGTGTTTTTCAGGGATATCACCCTGAAAAACACAATAGCATATAATTAAAGTAAAGCACTAGCAATATCCCACTCAATGAGCTATTAATGCAATTCAGTTTAAATGCAAATAATTCAAAATCTTACATAGGAATTGCTTGCTAAGCACCACAATTCTAGGAATATCTAGCGTTCTCTACCTGGAAATGGCTTTCTCCTTCAATGTAGCTTTTCAAGGATAATATTCCTGCATCTGACTATAGTCCAGAAAGTGTCTGTGGAATATATTTATGATTGCTTAAGGTGCCTGCCACTAGACTCCGACATGGCTCATTAAGTTATGGTTTGTTTATTGTTTACTGACTGGAGTTACAGAATATGCAAAGCCATAAGCCACAGCTTTTAAACTGTTGAGTCCAGATATCATGCTATGCCAAATCCAAACCAACCATATTTTGTGGTTTGTTGACTGAACTGTTTCTGATTTTGGTAGAACAGACCAACATGGCCACTTTTCTGGATAAAGTGTACGCTGACTCTGATCTGAACTCAGCAGCAGCAACATAAAAACCCTCCTACCCAAGGATCATCCAAAGGCTACTACCTTCTGGGGATATTTTCTAGTTTTGGCCATAAGGAAGACAGGACGATTGGATGAGGTTCTTCCACCTTCAGCAGAACACATTCCCCTGTACGCTCTTCGTAGAGGGAGAGACTTGATGGTATTCTTCTGTGAAAAGGTCCATGTCATCCTGGATTCTGGCTAAAGATCAGTTTATTAAACCACAATAAGTTAAAGAAGAAACTAGCCTTCTAAAACGCCATATACTGAGTTGGACCAATGCTGTCTTTAGTCTGAAATGTTCTGCTCTATGTCCAGTGGTTGCCCTTTTAAGTGGCCAGGCCAGGTATCAAAGCCAGACTTGTGTCCTGCGTGCTCCAGCACAGAGCTGTAGCCCCTTTCTCAAACAAAAATGTGATTTTCATTTTTAAGGTTTTCATGTATCATATTCTTGTTCTAATGGCTGAAAGCTAAGTCAGTGGAAGATGCTGAAGGTCCATGAAGGTTTTGATTAATGGGTTATAAGCTTTGTTAAACAAGATGTGATACTCCTTTGTAGATAGTGAGTCTAGATGGGATGGCTGAAGGAACAGCTTCTTTTTCCAATGTTCTTTGGATTATTACTCCCATCCCCCCATCCCCGCCCATCACCAATCACTGCTAGTACCGCTGATCCATCCCGGCTTTATTTCTTCATAGCCTCCTCCCTCCCCCTCCCGCCAGCTTATCCTGCAGTGAACTTGCACTGCCTTGTCACTCTGGCGCTGAGTCAGCGTGGTTCCAGATGCACGTCAGCGTTCTAGGCTTACTGTAGCTTGTCTGCAGACTTTCATGAGAAAAGAGCCCCAAGTATTGAGAAATGGTTGCACGCGTTGAGTCACAAGTTTTGTTTTTAAAAGCCAAAGTTGAAGCAACCCTGATGCACCAAGCTGATGCAAGATGTTGCTTTGAATGGAAATTAATCCCATGATGTGCTTTTAGATGAGATGCAAGACTTCTCCTGGGTAGAAACATTTGGTTAAAAGTCATTTTCTAAAGCATTTGTTTGTATCTCAGAAGGAAGAAGGCATTTCACAGCCTGTCCCCAAACAATAATGTAATATATTGACATTATATGTTACACTTAGGGGGTGAAAAGTAGTAACAGTGCTATTACCACAGTGAATATCTAAACATCTTAGCTATTCTGCTGTTCATTTATTTGGAATGGTTGGTTCAGGGGCTTCATGAATTCTAGATTTTATTCATTAGCCTCTGCTGGTACCTTGACTCAGATCCATCCCCTTGTTCCTGCAAGTTACGAGAAAAAAAGATTTTTTAAACATAAAAACTTCCTTCCTTCCTTCCTTCCTTCCTTCCTTCTGCTGTACCGT